TTGAAGAAGGATCCATATTTCTAAACATTGAAACAGAAACACTGGTCCAGTTGGAAGTCAAAATACATAAAACACTTGAAGTCATAGGTGTAGGAAAGGGTTTTCTAAACAGCCACAATTGCATAAGAAACAATAGCAAGAATCAACAAATGGGATTACATTAAATTATGAAGCTTGTGAAAGTGAAAGAAATCTATTAGTAGAGAGACAAAAATTTTTCCAGTTACTTCTCAGACAGAGGACTAATATACAGAATATATAAAGAACTAAAAAAAAATTAGACCACCTAAAATAAATGGCCCAGTCAAGAAATGGGTGACTGAAATGAACAGACACTTCATAGAGGAGGAAGTATAAATGGCCAATAAATATATTAAAAAATGCTCAACACTTCTGGCCATTACAGAAATGCAAATTAAAACAATGCTAAAATTCCACCTTGCTCTGGACAGAATGACAATCATCAAGAACTCAAAAAATGACAAATGCTGGCATGGAATAAGTAAAAAAGGAACCCTCCTGCATTGTTGGTCGGAATGTAAACTAGTATAACCATTATGGATATCAGTATGGAGATTTCTCAAAGAACTAACATTAGAAATTCCATATGATCCAGGTATTCCCCTTCTAGGACTCTTCCCCAAAGAGTTAAAATCATCATACTATGGGAATACATCCATACCAATGTTTATACGTAATACCAATGTTTAGCAGCACAATTCATAACTAAATCCTGGAAGCAGTCTGTATGACTATCAACAAATGGTTGGATAAAGAAAATGTGGTATCTTTACATAATGGAATACTCTTCTGCTATAAAGAAAGACAAATTCACAACATTTGTAGGAAGATAGATGTACCTGGAAAATAAAAGTTTGAGTGAAATAAACCAGATACACAAGCTTAAATACTGTACAGTATTTCTCATTTGAGGGATGGATAGAAGGAAATAAGGGGATGGATTTCTTGCAAATGGGAAGGGGTCTAGGAAACCAAGGGCAAGAGGAAAGGGAGAAGAGAAGGGGAAATACATAGAATAAAGTTAAGCCATGTACAGGAACCCAATAACCTCATGAATGTAAACATTATATACCACAATATGAGCTAAGTTTAATAATGTCAACAAGAATGAAAATTGGGATATTTGGTGTGTACATGTGCCCATGCCCCAAGATTATAGTAAACTTCATGTACTGCAAACATGTACTAATAAAAATTTAAAAACACAAGCCCAAAGAATATGTCTGAAGGGATTCTCACTAAATTTTTTGTACTACCCTCTTTTATTTCTTAAATTCTTTTATTGGTACATTTTAGGTATACAATATGTTTACATTTATCATTGGGTGCTTGTACCTGTATGTGATGTATCTTGGTTCTTATTTTTTCCCCATTACCTGTGAGCCCTTCACCCCCTCCACCCTTCCCTATTTACATAGGCTTCATTTTCATTTTTTTTCTCTTCTCATAATTTTTCCTTTCCCTTCTTTCCCCTTCCCCTCTCACCACCTCTACCCCTTTGGACCTTTTCTTCCTATTTCAAATTACTAATTATTCATTTTGGTCATTTTAATCCTTATTTACACTTTCAGTTTCTCACACTAGAGAAACTATTCAGTATTTACACGTGTGTCCTATTTATTTCACTTAAGAGTATGGCCTCAATATGCATTCATTGTACTACCCTCTTAGTAAACAATCTGTCCAACTTTTTTATAGTTTTCTGGTATGGGTCCTATCATGCAAGACAAATCTATTGAAGCTAAGCAAAGAAATAAAAGTGATTTGCCTTAAGTGATCCAGTCAAATTCATACTGATTACTGCATCCTACATTAAAGGCTCCTAAAATTTTCCTTTTTTGTGGTGAAACACAGACTGAGAGGCATCTAAAATACACATATACATATATAAAAAGTCCTGCACTTCAAAAGAACATATAAGGTGATTTAGTATAAAATATACTTTGGATAAAATAAAAATTTTAAATTTAAATGCAAAAATTTGACTTCAATTTGTTTAGTAGAATTAAAATTAATTTTTTGTCAAAGTATTGGAAATGTTTGTTATTATTTGTAATTGGCCAGGCTATATTTTTTAGATAGGTTTTCATATATGTTTCAAGATAGTTTTCCCATTCTCTAAGGTGCATTTTAACACAGGATTTGCAAAGCAAATGCAATGCATTAAAACTTTTGGGAGTTTTTTAATTGAAATATAGATTCTTATTGTTATTAAAATATTATATTAAAAGATACATTACCATTTATCTCTCTCAAAAAAATACCTTACTTCAAAAACACTTATCCCATCACTCTTGCCACTTTCTCAGGCAATTCTGAAAGATGTCTTTCATAAATATCTTTTGCTGTGTATTCATGGCTGTCTTGATGTTGTATTACACAAGAAATAATAACAAGAAAACAAATGGGATTATATCAAATTTAAAGGCTTCTGAACAGCAGAGGAACAATCACCAGCATGAAGAGATAACCAACAGAATGGAAAAATTCTAGCCACCCCTGGACAGAGGACTAATATCTGCAATATGAAAAACCAAAAAAATTACCCTACAAAAAAAAAAAAACCTAAACAAAATTGACCTATTGAAATTAATATACACTTGTCAAAAGAATAAAGACAAATGGCCAATAAGTACATTAAAAAATGTTTAACATATTTGGGCATTAGAGAAATGCAAATCAAAGCAACACAGATTCCATCTCAATCCAGTAAGAATGGCTGTCATCAGGGGCTCATAGAACAATGTATGCTGTTGAAATTGTGCAGCAAAAGGAACCCTTCCACATTGTTGTTACTTTTTTTTTTTTTGGTACTGGGGATCAAACTCAGGACCTTGTGCTTGTGAGGCAGGTGGCAGAACCACTGAGCTAAATCCCCAGCACTACACTGTTGATAGTAAGGTAAACTCATACAACTACTATGGAAAATAGTATGGGAATTCTTCAAAAAACTAAAAATAGAAATTCCATTGTTCCCAGTTATACTTCTGGGTACCCTCATCAATGAGTTAAAGACATCAAAGCACAGTGATACATACATATCCTTGTTTATAGCTGCAAATTTATAATAGCTAAATTATGTAAGTATTCTGCATGGCCATCAACAAATGAATGCAGAAAATGTCATGTATATAATCAACGCAGTCCTACTCTAACCAGCCATAAAGAAGAGATTTGAGTCATTTATAGAGAAATGGACAGATCTTGATACCATAAAACTAAGTAAATCAGATACAGACAGTTAAATATCACTTGGCTTCTATTAATGTAAAATGCAAAAAATAAATAATTTAAAGAGCAAAATAAAGGGAGATGGTAGAAAATAGGGTGATAAACATTCTGGAGATGGAAAAGGCACCACAGAAAGGGAGCACAGAGGGAAGTAAATTGGGAAGGGAGTGAAAATGATCAGCTGTGATATGAATATGTACCAGTATTCCAAGTGAATGCAATTATTATACATTGCAAACATATACTAATAAAATAGGAATGATGACATAAGTATTTTCAAAATGAGGGAGAATATTTTGAGGGTGATTAATAGCAATGTCACTTTTACTGTAATATCATTTTCTTCTAAATTTAAACATTCACCATGTATTGTGATCACAATTGATACATCAAAATCAATAACCAAAAATTATGGCACCAGTGCATGGAGGACTAGCTGAACTTAAGCAACAGAATAGCAACAGAAATCCATAGGTGGAAACTTGATCGGCATAAAAATATTTCAGTTGAGGAAAAATTAGAGATTTGGATCCAGGTAGTACATTCCTTGTTTATTCTTGTAGAAGAAATGAACTTCAGCTCCTTCCTCCCTCCAAGTATACATACTTACACTCCCACACACAGATACACTATTCATCACAGACTGAGACTTAAATATGAAAAGCAGAACTTTAAATATTTTGAAAGAAAACATGAGAAAATAATTTTTGCTTCTGGAGTAGAGAAAATATTGTCAAACAAGAGAAAAAATACAAACTATATGCAAAATATTTCATTAATTATATTAAAGTTGAGATTTAGTATTCTTATAAAGGTGAAATATCTATTTCAGACAGTAGGGGATATAGTTAATACCTACAATTAACACTGATGTGTATGTGTGTGTGTAAAGATTATATAAATATATGCTATATACTCATGATTTAATAAATTTTATGCTGTATAAGTTTATTTTATATACTTATGTGTTTTATAAAGATAATTTTCCATTAGTAAGAAAATGTATATTCATGGACAAATACCCTAATCAAGCATTTCTAGAAAAGAAATGTTTACTATCTAAAAAATGCATGAAATATACAACCTCATTGTGGGAATATAGAGAAAAATCACAATGAAGCATAATCTTATACACAGTATACACGCATATAACATCCTGCAATGCTGATATTTATTCACTGTTGTTCAAAATGTTAATACTCCATTTTTCAATTATTCACTAAATGTGAAAATGTCAATCCAATACTCCAGAAATTATATTTCTAGGTATGGAAACTACATTAGCACTGGTACTTCTGTATTTAGAGAAATTATTGAAAACATTAATATCATACTTGGCAAAACTAAGGAAGCAGATAATTCAATTATCTTTGCCAGTAGAATAATAATGTTATATAAATGGAGTTCTATAAATGTTAAAACTGAGTGGCATATATATACATTAACTGATAATACAGAAATGTTTTTGTTGAAAAACTTTTAGAAGACTATATAATACTATTTCACATATATAGTATAAAAACGAACCATTTTGCTTAAAAATACAAAGAGTGAATAGTACAAATTAAATAAAAATTTGTCAAATGTAGGTTCAGGATATTTGATAGAATTAATCATGTGAAGTGGAGGTATTTTACTTGGGGACAAACACAAAGCTATCAGTTACCTTCTGAGCATGCTGTATTCACTTCATTACCTTTTAAATTATACGTGTACAATAACTGAATCAAAGAAAAAGAACCTCTAACCTGTTTTCTAGATCCACATGTGTTCCATCATTTTTGCATGGTTTTGAGGAAAACTCATTAATTTCAATTTCACATAGAGGTCCAGGAAATCTGGATCACAAACACATCTTTTAAACAAGAAATGCAATAATTCATTAGTGTAAATATATAAGATTAAATCTTCAATTAACTGTAGCATAGCTAATTTTTAATAATTTTACATGTCTAATTTTTCAGTTGACATTCTAAACATTCATGCACTTAGTACATCTAGATACATAGATATTTGGGGCTTTTCTTTACCTAAAACTGTGGGCCTCTTCTTCACAGTCACCATCATTGTCATCCATGTCAATTCCACAGCACACCCCAGATCCTGCAAGAGAGGTGAGACAGGTATGGAGGTGCAATATGTGCTGTTGAGTGGGAAAGTCAAGATCAGAGATTAAGGCTAGAGAATGTATGTGCTCAGGAGGAAAAATTTAAAAAGCCTCATAAAATAAAAGACCTGATCTCAAGGTTCTCGTATGTCTTTCAACATAATATGTGAATGAAATTATGACAGTTCCTAGATTAATGAGATGAAGTGAAAGAATCAAAGGAAAGTACCCTACTTAATCTGCTGGAAGCATATGGTGGCTGCTAATGTCACTATTATTTGATAAGGTGTTTAAATGTTTGAACAAGAGGAGCTAAAATGATCTGGAAAGCTAAGGGAGTTACGTGATGGCCAATCTTAAAGTAAAATTGAGCTTCAGTGATCAGATTTATTCAAGACAGTCAGCAGATGTAGCAAATTATTTAATTGCTTTTTATATGCACTGATTCAAGAAAACAAATTATTTTGATTGATAGCTACATAATCACCCATCCATTTAAACACATGCCAGTTGTACTAAATGATGAAGGTGAAAGAAACATACAGTAGAGGCAAGAACAACGATATCAACATAATTGTATCAGAAAAATATTCACAAGCTATTCCTTTTTAAACCTTTAAATATTTTAGTATTCATGATTACTATCTCCAGTTATAAAGTAAGCATAATGACAAATATACTTATTCTCATTTTTTCATGTTATATTCTTCATTATCTTTTCTGTAGCCATTTAAGAAACAAGATGATTTTCTTCTGTCTTGCTTTTTCTGTGACAAAACTAGAACTAAATAATTGCAGTAACATTATAAACACCAATGTGCAGTTGGCCTAATTTAGCTGGAGGAACAGAGCGTCAAAGTGACTTTAAGGAAACTCTGGTGAGCAGGTGTGTGGACTGAGTGGAAATGAGAAGTATCTGAAGGACAGCGTGGTCCAGCTGCCCTCGAAAGCTTGACTCCTCCCATAGTGCTGTACTTATCCCTTCCCATGTAGCTTTTGTTGCCTCTCCTGGGGTCACTGTCTTTTCAAGTGTAGTTTGACCTCATTTGTAATGTGAGCATGTGATGATATGGCATAACTTCCTCAGTCTCTGCACCCTGACTTTTCAACTTCAGCACCTACAGCTCAATGAATATCGACCTCCGGGTCTCCGTGTTCGGCGCCCTTGACTGAATACGAAATGGGACAAGTTCATCTCCAGGGCTCACAGCATCACCATTCTCCCTGGTGTCTGCAGTCAGATCCTGCTCCAGACCTGCCTGGCCCTGGAGTTCATCAGGGAGGCTGCTGTAACCTGCAAAATCTTGCTTGCACTTTACAGGTGACAATGTGAAAACTAAAAATTATTGAATTGGAAGAAAACAAAAAAGTAAAAAGGAACAAAGTACAGATGCAACAAATAGAAAACAGATAGGACGATTTTCTGTTTCTTTTGATTGCTCTTAAAAATAATTTTAAACATTCCAGTTAAAAAGCAGAGACAGGTTAGATAAAATAACAGAAGAAACTAAATACTACCTAAAAGAAACTCACTTAAAATGAAAACGCAAAGACAGATTAAACATGGAAGAAATGAAGGTGCACTATGAAACTCTAATCTAGCCGAGCACGGTGGCACAAACTTATAATCCCAGCACTCTGGGAAGGTGAGACAGGAGGGTCACAAGTTGGGGAGCCCAGGCTGGAGAATTTACTGACATAGGGAGACGTTGTCTCAAAATTAAAAAAAAAAATAAAATAAAAAGGGTGGAAATGTAACTCACTGTGAAAGCCTTGTGTTCAATCTCTAGTCCTTAAAAAAGGAAGATGAAGTACTAGTGAATATCAGTCCAGGAGAGGCAATAATTTGCCTTATATTTTTCTCAATTCTCTGAACCATTTCATTAATATTTGAGGCTAACATGCTTGCAATACATAATGTCATATGTTTAGATTTAGATGTCATATGTTTAGCATTAAAATAAAAAAATTATTTATTCCAAAATTAATATGGTTCTCTTCTTTTAGGTGAGCAGGTTGTCATTCCAAACCTCTTTTCCTTTTTCATATTTAGGAAACAAATGTGATAGTTGTAAAATACTCCTAT